AAGCCCCTCAAGAAAGCCGCTGGGCTGAAACCAAGGGTACCCCAAACACAAATCCCGGCCGTTTCGGGCGAGGAGCTGGCACTTCAACTGCCACGGCTGCGGAAGAAACTGGCCATTGCGTGCCAGCTGGACACTCATTGCTGGGCTGTCCGTTTTCAGATCCCCCGCTAAAAGTTTGACTTTTAGTGGGTTAAATGGACATCCCCACTAAACACGAAAAGGCTAAAAAGCTAAGGGGCCACCAAGATTTTGGATGGTGCTTCAAGGGAACCCACCAGAAAGCTACTAATGGAATTAAGGGAGAAGAAAGAAAGCTAACATTGCCAATCTGATAATCTTTTGTTTTTGAATTTCAGAGCTTTGCATTTGTTTGGCAAAGTCAGAATCACTCCTTCAGGAATGTCGAGGGTGGAACGCACCTTTTCTGATCAGAGCAACTTATGTGCTGTCTATTCCGGAAGAAAACCGACATGACACCCAACATGTGGAGGTGCCCCCTCCGCACTTCGAGCGACCTGACGTGCAAGCCCGTTCCCCCAAAAGCTTGCTGTAAATCAGGCACTTGGACGACATACTGGACCGACCTCGCGTGTTTGCACTTGGACATGAGGGGAACTTTGGTCTGACAGTGCAGCAAACCGGAAAACGTGGCAGTTGTACGTATGTCGAAGAAGTCAACCGAACGAATGGATCGGCCTCGGAGGTCAACAGTCGCCGTACGGCACGGGCAAAACAACCGCTGCGCTTCTTGAAGTTCACACTACACCATGGTGCGCACGGTCAGGTTTGGACCCGGAAAGCCTGTTTATGCAATTTAAAAGGGCGTGAGAACGGACCGTTCCACACTTGCCACACAGATTGCATTGCGAATTCGCCCTGCGGATGACCAAATAGTGTGTGTGTGTGTGTCGAAAAGAGGCAACAAACACAAACGCTTTCTGACGAAGTACATACATCAAAGTTGAATTGGAGCGTCTTGCGTTGCAATAGTTCCAGTGGCAGAAGCTGAGAGCACCACCTCTTCCTTCACCTCCTTCTCTTCCACAGGGCCTTCAGGATCTTTGACGCCTGAGCCACGGATTTGATCCGGATTGATCTGCTGACCATGACTCACCAGCCCGAAATCACCTACACCTTTCGAACCACAAGTCAGAGACCTTCATGGGTGCCACATTTGTCTGATGAGTTTCAAAATTTGGTGTACCATGGTGTACCCTCCCACCAACTAACCTGGAAGTGCAAAAAGGCCAACTCACCAAGAGGAAAGTCGTCTTTCTACAGGGGTCTGTGCACCAAACCATGGAATCGCTGGGAGGGTACATGTGCACTTGCCAGAGCCCAGGCCATTGGTTGCCAGCGCTGAGAACCCCACCCTGGCCGATGTCCGAGTGCAGCAGCTCCAGGGCCGCCTAGGGCAGTTTGATAGAGCTGAAAATGTCTGCACTAACAAATTTGGGGGGAGGTCCACCAAGAAATTGCTCATCTGTTCACCGATGAACCATTGAAGTCACCATCTGTTTCATTGTTCAAAGCCTTTTCAGGACAAAAACTCCAAGGATATTATTTTGGTGCTACTTTGGAGCGAGAGTGGGTCCTCCTCCCCGAGCAAGCCACGGGTGCACTTCGATAAATGCACACTCCCTTCGAACCCCCTGGTTTCCAAACAATGTTGTTGAAAGATCCGAAGGGGATTCCTGCAGATGCAGATGCGTTGTTCCTCAGGCGCTCAAAGGCACGACTTCCTGTGCCAAAGAGCCAAACCAAATACACTTAACCTGGCGTTAGAAAACATAAAAGAAGACCAGGATAAACACACAACTGCAATCGAATCAGCATGTAACATACACCTTGCACATGTGCGTGTCATCTCCTAGCTCACTGCTAGTCTCACTGTCACTTCCTTTCCGGCTTCCAGTAGAAGCCGCTTAGTTGATCTTTTGAAGGCAGCGTTGCGCCAGAAAGAAAGCTCTCGTCGGCCGCGTCAAGACTGAAGTTCTATTGGCGGAGATGCCAAAGACTTAGCGATCTGGCACTTGTCTACCTGGTCTCTCGCTCATGGCCCACTGCCAACTTTGAGATGAATACAACATATCATAGGCGCAAGAGCTATGCGTGTGCATCACTACAAGCATGTCGAAAAGTAACCGCACAAGAGCCAATTGTCAAGCGCGCCTTTACTTCACTAGACTCGCAGCTGAGTTGCACGCATGTTGACTGTTGCAGGGTCAACCCAGCTGCTTTCGATACATACCACGATACTGGTATTGTCATATTCCAATGATGCTTCAAACACTTCGGCGCTCTTGCCTGGCCGGGGATTGAATGGTCTACCGCTTTGAAAGAGCCAGACTTTGTGTGAAATGCCCGCAGTATGCCCCATATCCGATCAGCCTTTTGACATGTTGTGTTTGCGGTGCTTGTGACAGTCCCAAGAGTTGGGCAAACCAAACTGACAGGGTGGAAGCTGGACATCTGTGCACTGTTTCCCTGTCCATCACTTTTCAGACAGTTCCATTAATTCTGGTTTCTTTATTTTATGATTATCAAAGCTACCCCCCCCCCCCCCGCCCCCAAATGAAAGAAGAAGAAAAAACAAAGAGTCCCCAGAAACCGTCAACACATCGCTAATCCACGTAAGGTACTAGCATTTCTTAACAACTCTCATACTTTCATCATCCCTCCCACAAGCAAATTTCCAAAAAGACAGCTAATCCCCCCACAAACAAACACAAAACAGAGAGCCCATATCTAAACACAATATGTAAAGAGCCCCCATCTCTGATCCCAACAACGAAGAACCCCGACTCTGGGGCGCCAGGCCACCACCTGCTCCTCGCCCCCCTCCATGGACCGCACGTTCGGCAGCAAGAGCTCCACAAAGTCCTGGCCATCGTCGGGCCGTCGGCTGTCGGCCGTCGCCATGGAGAAGCACAGCGCGGTCGAATCCCAAAAGGGCAGACCGGTTAGAAAGTTGAGTCAAGAGAGGGCCGTTTCCGAGGCCTGAAAGGAAAACCAAGGCCTCAATCAGCCCTGCCCAAAGCCAAAAACCCAAACAAACTCGAGGAAACGCCAAACAAAAACAAGAGCAAACCAAACAACAACATTCCTCAAACACGTGTCAAGACGTAGCCACTCACTGTGCCAAGAGTTCTGGGAAAATGTTGAGTGTCTTAGTGTTTTGGTTTAGGATTCTTTGGTGTTTGGTTAGAATTGCGGATTCTATTCTTCCCTTATCAAATTATATCTAAACTCTAGCTGGATTGTAAAGTTCTATCTGGCAAGGCATGTCTACTAAATTCCAGATTTAAGATGTAATGTCCTATAGGATTCGGAGCAAGCATTTCCTTATTGAGGCTTATTCAAATTCTATTCGAAATCTATATGTTGGAGGGCCGTTGGTGGAGATGTGGGATTAGTATGAATAATGCGACGAAACACGGTTAAAGCTTTTTACGGCCATGGTGGTACTGGGGGCTAGGTAGAAACAGACTTTTGGACTTCTGATCCGTTTCGTTCCGAAATTGTACTTATGAATGTATCATGTAACAAACCCTAACTGAACTTATATGGACTTTAACAAGGAATAATCCAATCATCATGTCCATTCTAGATTAGATCTTTAAAACAAATGATCTATTTCAAATCAACAAACATACTTTTGACAATCGAAACACAATCTATTCACACAAAAACTCAGCATAAGCAACACAAGTGCAACCATGATGGACCACTGACTAGACCAGTTTGCATAGCTATTGTGGATGGACACAAGTCTGCACTAGTTGGTGGGCGATTTGGTGATTTGTCCCAGTATTGAGGGCGTCATCCATCCCAACTGGTGCAGGATTTGTCCATCCACAGCATGCATATCAAGCGCAGCTTTGCGCGCCTTGCAATTCAATGCGTTGTCCATCCTCATGAATTCCTCCTTCACGTGCGTGAGCCTCTCCTTGGCCGAGCATGATTTCAGCCGAGAAACCCGTGCAAAAGGACTTTGTTTGTAACCTGATTTCAAGGTAACCTCTCAAAGGCCACCTTTCTTTTGAAGCAGACTTGCAGCCAACAGAACAGGAGATTGAAGGTCTTTCGGACCCTTGACAAACATGGGTTCCACATGAACCAAAATCGGAAAACCGCAAGGTCAACGGATCGGCTTTGGGCCCAGCTGCTTTGCATGGGCAACAAACAGCCAACTGGTGCCGGACTCCAGCCGTTTCTTGACCCCAGAATTATGCTATCAATGAACCAATCCACATGTGCGAGTTATGTTTGTGCCTGCAGGCTCCAGCCAAATACTAAGCCACATGCGCGAACTCTACCACATGCCTCTTCCAACATCGTCATCTTGGAACGTTGATGCCTTGAACCGCTGGGAAGGTGAGGACTGACTATGAGGTGCACTCACGAGTTTCAGCTCCAGCACCGCTTAGATTCCGCATGATACTGCAAACGCGAACCAGCCCGCAGATTCCACCTGCTCGGACAGGACAGCGGAGTGCTACCAACTGCTCGTTTGTGATGCGGGTCATTTCTCGCAGTGTAGTTTGGCCCTAAGACCAACTGGCACGTTAGGGATAATCAAACTAGTCACTTGGGAAACGAGTGCCACTGAACAAATTAGCTACACCTCCGTTGCCAAGTTCCAAATCGCTTTACCACGGCTCAGCCTTAATTCGCTGGGGGTGCGGCAGTGTCAATCTTGTGCAGAACCCGCGAAATGAGATTCTGCTCCTTTGTGCCTCGAGAACCGAGGTGATGGCCCACCTGAGAAGCCTCTCTGTGCACCGATTCGTTGAACAAAATGTTCAAGCAGTTGGGATGGATCGAACTCCACTGGTTGCCGGGAGAAAGCAGCTGCCAACTGGTGCTCTCTCCCTTGAAGCCGGGGCTGTGGGAAGCAAGCCGTACCAGCGTGGCACTTGGGGGTCCGAACGTACGCCCGCCTTGCTTGAGGCCACTGGCCAGGGCTGACGCTTGGGTCAAAATGAAGCCACCAGGATCTGGACTGCAGGCTTTAACTTAGTCCTTTCCGTTTATCAGGATTCCATTCGGGGTACCGGTTTGTGACCCGCATCCATATCCTGAACTTCAGTCCCCCGTGTCACCTTGGCACCGTGGCCATCGAGAGCCGGGTTCGAGATCGCAGAACAGCCATAGGCCTTAGGCCCCTGCTTGCTTGCGTCTCCTTCGCCACCAGCCTGGGCAGACTTCGGGCAGGGCGACCTGGTTAGGCAAGGCCACACAGTTACATTTGCCAGGACGTGTTAAATATCTGTGTGTCACCCACAGAAACCATCCTGCATGCTGGAAGCAAACATACAACATCACCCCGCAGCCAATTGCCAAACATCACCCTCTTGGGAGAACGTCGCACACAGTCCATGTCCAATCTCCGGCCAGTCACTTGCTAACACGGCGGCTGCAGTTGGATGCCTGTCTCTCTGAGCATGTATGCTGTCCGCGAAAAGGCTCAGTTCCGGACCCATCAACTACGCCTGGAAATAGGCCGCTGTCAACTTGGACAGTCTTGGACTTCCCTTGGCAAACGTTGAAGCAAACAGGGTCCCGCTAGAAATAAAACACCACCATTGGCCCCTTCTAGCCCTAACGCAATCAAACGATTCTTTTTGTTGGGCCTGCAAGGTGCGCCGAAAGCGGTTGGGCGATGTTGCATGCTATGGCAGTCATTTTCTTGGAAGCACAGACTGCGATCCAGTCAGTCTTTTGCCCTCTGGGCTTCTTTCAGCTGGCGATCTTTTCAAGGGAAACTCACATGTCTTCATGGGAAACAAGCCCTTTTGAGAGCTGGGCAGCCGTTTCCCTTTTCATGTATCCCTTCAGCTGGAAGCCCTTCTGCCCATCGCCATCTGCCTGCCACGTGCCCAGGTCGCTGTTCACGTCCGCGGGACTCAAGAGCAGAGGAGCGAACATCCACTGCGGGCAGTCACTTGGGGCGGTTTTAGAGGGAAACCAAAGGGAAACCTTGTGTTTCTTGGTTGGGGGGCCCTCAAAAACAGAAGCTCATGCTGGTTGCACTTGAAAAACAAACAAAAAATCCATCCCCATCCAGCCAGGAGCTCCCCCTCCATACATGATTCCGCAAAATGAACATGGGAAATGGTCCTTTGTTGGGAGTACGCTGCCCTCCATACGTTATTTGGGAAGGACACCACACAAACAGGATCCTTCATCCGAGTGCTTGGCACGGCTCTGCGGAAAGAGCGGATGCTCCCCATCCTCGTCCCGCTCAGTGAGCGTGTGACCTTGGTAATCTACATATCTCGGATTGGCCCCTCCAAAAGCAACCGTGGAACAGCCAAATCGCAAAGGGCACACAAAACCAATCACTACAACCCCTAATATCCATTGCACCCTACTATGAAGCTCACAACAAAGGATCAATGGCAACATCTCGTTTATTTTTGTCACACGCCAAAGAACGGCACCAGGCTCTGGCAAATCTCCAGGCATTGCAATCTGCGGTCCTGGCTTTGGGTGTATCGCTCCAGCAAGGCCTGGCAAGCGTTGCTTGAGGTTCTCACGGCAAAGGCAAGGGGATGAATGAAACACTACTGTGGGTGGACGAAATCCTGCACCACTTTGCAACCATGGGAAACCATTGGTTGTTGGTATTTACAGGGGAATCATCATTCCAGGGTTTCTTAGGTGGTGCAGGATTTTGTCCATCCGCAGTATTAAATAGTGATTCATAAAACACCTACCAACTGGATGAAACCTACCAACTATTAAATAGCGATTTATACAATACCTACCAACTGGTGCGAAGTGGATGTTGTCCATCCACCGTACCTACAACGAAACGAACAGCTGAGCCTAGCCACCGCACTCTCTGCCTCTATTCCCCTCAAGGCCCCCACCCGCATGGTAGGGTTGTGCGGGCCAGCGACCACAGTGCCAGCCGCCTTAGCCGACAAACCCATATTTGTGTTCTATACGACAGGTAATGAGTGGCTAGGAATGTAGCCTTGTTCATCAAGCTGATCAAAGTCTGAAGCCGGTTGAACATGGTTGAACCACATCTTGATCTCTATTGGAAGTGCATAAGCAATATGACTGGGGTGTGGCTTCTTGGGCATATCTTCCGGCTGGAAGTTTCAGTGTTTCAGGGACTATCATGCCAAACGCCTTGGGCCGATTGACCCTGGCCTGTCAAGCCCTGCACGACCAACAAACACACCTTTCTGGCAGGTGGCACGCGCACTAGGTGCGCATCAAGCAAATGACAAATAATGACATTTCAAACGCAATACCGCCTTCTGGATCAGTGCCTACGGCGGCAAAACAACAGCCACCCCTGTTGGCCGACCATCTCCATCGATCCTCTATGCGACCATTGATTCCCGCATTTCTTGCACTCGCTGGTTGCGAAAAAGCTGCCCTAAAAGCCAAATTCAGGCTCCCAGCTTTGGCGGGTGAAACGAGCTCGGCTCCAGCTGGAGTGGCCATTTGCAAACCATACTCTTGTGGAGGACCAACCGGATGATAAGGGCACAACGTTTTTTCCTGTTTTACCCAGCCCTGCCACTTCTTTATGGTCAACAGAGATCCTTACATTATACCCCTGAACATTGCCTTGTAAGTGGCGGTGTCCCTTTATTTTGGTGGAAAAAGCCATGATTGAAATGGGCAAATTGTATCTTTTAAGCAGCCCTGGTCTTCCACGGAGCGCTTCGTGTTGATCGGTTCTACGGGCGCAAGGACTGCAGTTCCAGCAACCCCGCGCGCACGCCGGTGCGCGTGCCCACCGTCGCGCCCCCAAGGATCTCCGCCACATCCTGGCGAAAGACGTGTGGGGGAATTGTTTATATATGTATGTATATATATATATATATGCATATCTCTATATATAAAAGGAATCTTATGGACGCCATGTAGCTGATGATGTATGTCCACCAACCATTTTACCAACCATTTTGGAGGTGGATCCTTCTTCAAATTCATGGCCATGGGCTTTTTGATGGCAGATGTAGGGCTCGTTTTCCGTTGGGATCTAAGAAATGGGGTTCTTTCGGATGCGACACGATGGTCCCCAGCAAGCTGAGAACCTGTTTCGGGTCCCCTGATTCCGGGGTCAAGTTTGGTATAGCTCCAACAAACAACCTGCAGCTCTGGGGATGCATGTTCTTCCCATTAAAGGGACCACGCTATCCTCAAACCACTGCCCAGTGGAAAAGGATGTCTAGGACTCTTATTGAATGGTATAGCACGTTTTGTGGCACACCCCAGTTTAGCCTGGGAGCAGTCATGGAGAAAGGGAGGTCTATCTATTTTGCTTCCTCACGCTTCCCGAAGGAATCCTGAGGAACTTTCCAGTACCTGCTTTGCACCCAGCACCCCCCAGCCCAATCCAAACGAATCCTGCAAATGTCAGGAGGCACAAAACCACAAAACCAGAACCAAGATCAAACATTGGCAGTCCTGCAGGGGGGAAGCAGAGACACCATATTCACAACATGTGGTAGGCAAAAAAATAGACCCACCTGGGCGTTTTGGGGGCTTGAGATGTTCGTGTCCTTCAGCTGGTAGATCTGCTTCTGCCTGTCTGCCAAGGTCTTGTCAAAGCCAGCCAGGAGCTGCGTGCAGTCCTCCCAACAGTCAACCCTCCAAGGAACCCGTCAACAGAACCTCCCCCTCCTCCCCCTCCTCCCCCCCCTTCCCCTCCCTCCCTCCCCTCCCTCCCTCCCCCCCTCCCTCCCCTCCCTCCCCTCCCTCCCCTCCCTCCCCTCGCCCCCCCCTCCCCCCGCCCCCCCCCCCCAGGCCGAGTCTGACAGAGCACACCACAAGTTTCCACCCCTTGCTGCTCGACCCCTGCAGAAAAAGCCAGCACCAACCCCTGCCTCTCCCGCGGCATCTGCCGCCCTTTTTGAGCCCGAAACCAGACCCGTCTGCGGTGAGTCGGACGAGTCCTCCCCCAGCTTCGCCAAGGTATCCTCCGTGGCAGCCAGCGAGGTGCCTTTGAGCTCCACGTCGGCCTCTTCGAGTGGACGCCGAACAGGACGTCTGCTCCCAACACCCAGCCGTTCTAAGGGTGTTTGTATTGCACCCGGGGAATACACCCACTGGGTATTGACCCCATTCAGGCACATGTCCGGACAAAAACATGTTATGTTGAACCATTCTGCTGGTGTAATCCCAAGGGTGTAATCCCAAGGGTGTAATCCCAGGGTGTAATACAAAAACCCTCAGAGCCGTGGCGCATCGTGTGAACCCTGTTTTAAGAAAGGTACCATTGAGGGACGCAGAAACCAAACGTGTCCAACACAGTAACTGCCCTTCCATGTCGGCCAGGAAGTGGGATGGCGCAGTTTCTATAGATCACCGCCTTTCACCATAGCTGGTAGACAATCCAATTTCAACCCACCCAGTCTCACCACAAGGAGAGCGTCGCCGTGGCATAATATCAGCAGGTCCAAAATAGATGTTGACGGTTGCAGCCTGAGCTGGCTCTGCATTGCTGGCCAGTTGAATGTTGAGGGTATAAACATGGGCGCCAACATCCTTGGCATGCTCCCTCACCCTCCAGCCTGTTTCTTCTCAATCATTCCCTCACACCCAGAGGTCCGAAAACGGGGGATTGACAAACGGGTTCCTCCCAACATGTGACCTATGACTCACACAGACTTTGGATGCCCCTAGCTGGGATGGATGAAACCCTCTGCGACAAACCACCAACTGACGCAGGATTTTGTCCATCAGCGCCCAGCCTTCACTTGGGACAGCTCCTGAGCATCCCGGGCCTTCTCCTGCAAAACGCTCAAATTGCTCAGAACAAAACCTCGGAAATCGGAAAACCGCTGATTTCCTGAAATTTGCAAATTTCAGGGCGGCTCCACTTGAAATTGGATGTGAACTTGGGGAGGGGGCAAGTCACCCTCATACATTCACAATAGTTCGCTTGGAGGCCTGAGTACTCCCCTGACGACTCCTGAAGAAGCTTGGAGACGTGCTCCAGCTTCTTGTCGAACAGAGTCTTGGTGTCCTCACGGACCTCGGCTGACTGCCCTTGCTTGCCTCTGAGCTCCCTTTCGGGGGGTAACTGCTTTCAGTGCAGCCTCCTGAACGAACCGGATGAAACCTCCTGGGCCCTTCAGTCATGCGATTGCCCCGGACCAATGACTCACCCGCGCTGCTTGTTTTTTATCGCGAACGCCACACCCAATCCATCGCCTACGGCCCAGGAAAAGGAGCAACCCACACAAAGACACACGACAAACAAGAACTCGGAAGCTGGCCTTCTCCAACTCCGCCTCGGCATTCTCTTCGGCCTTCTCGGCATCGCTTTGCTCCTAACGCGCGCCATTCCGCATGTTTGCGTGAACAAGCGCAAGGAACCCGTGGCAACACAAGCACATCACCCCAATGGCGTTCGACACATGGGAAAAATACTCTCTTTTACCAAGGCACACCTCGCTTGAAACCCCGCCCCGTTCTCAGCTTCTTGCACCTCAACTCCCGCCACATCCCACAACCCTCTAAACTCTGAACCAGTGGCACCTGTTGACCTGCAAATACCCCGGCCAAACAGGCCCCTCTTTCTGTTTGTGACATCCCTTGTGACACTTTCAGTGGGTCATATCACTCCCTTGGCATCACAAACAGCAGCCCAAAAGGCCCCAAGTCGCCACAACCGCCGCCCCATCCTTCTGGAAGTCCCAGACGATGGTGTCGAGCATGGCGATGACGCTGCTGCCAAGGTTCCCATTCCTGGAGCTGCCCAGCTGCCAAGTGTCCGGCGCCTGCATGCAAAACGGACGGGAATTGGGAGGTTGGAAGGGGGCCCGAGCAGATGGTGCACGTGTTGTCCATGCAAAATCAAAGTGAACAGGGTGTTGCGGTTGGATGGCTTTTCTTGGGCACACGGCAACATTGCAAGCATGCAGGTTGATATTAGCAGGGAGTGCTTCAAGGGCAATCGCAAACTGATGCTGCTCCGCTGAGACGACACAAACTTGCAGAAATCAGCCAGCAAATGGGTGTTCGCTGAGTCTGTCCTCCATGGGCCCATGTTCGTTGTTTCATAGCACTCGTGGCAGCAAGGCTCTTAATTTTGAGGCATACACTGCCTGGCACTGGCTGGCCACAGCGTGCAAGAACACACCATGTCCAGCCAGTAATTACCAGGACTCCGTCTTGCAAGCCCTAGAGGACTGCAGCTTGCGAAGGAAAAGGCGTCCGAGCCGGCACCGCGGCCGTGGATTGAAAAGCAGTGTATTCCCTGGATCTGCTCATGCAAGATGAGGCTTCCGGGGCCCGTTGGGTTGTCAAGCTGCCAGGCCAAAGTCACAAATCTTCACATTCACTCATACTTCCCACTTGATAACATCAAGTGGGAACCATGAGTGATGATGGTTGGCGCTCCAGGCACGCCAGCATTTCGCCGCTGCATCTTCAGGCTCGCAACTCGGAACCAACGCGTCGAGCGTCTTCACGTCACAGTGCGTGTGGAGGACATCCTGGTACCCGAAGTTGCGCTGACATCGGAAAGCGAGAGCATGCGAGAGCCCTTCAAGCTCCACGACTGATGTTCTAACTGATGTACTTTCCTTGCCTTGCTTTGTTTTGGACTCTGCTGAAACTGCCGTTTGCTTTGCTTTGCTTGCCTTGCTTAATATGTCTTTGCTTGCTCTGCTTTGCTTGGCCGTGCTTTGCATTGCTTTGCGTGGCCTTGCTTGCGAGCAAAATGACACTTTGACAGTCTCGCAGAACGTCAGGCTATGGACATGGACTGGCCAAAGAATTTGGCCTGAGAGCTTCCACCAGCAGATCGGTAGAACATTGTTTTCTCGCCAGACACCGAGAGCTAGCTGCCAAAGGCCGCTATGTTGAGAAATTGCGCGGTGCTACAAACGCCTAGAACGCAGCTCTGGTTTTCTCATCTTGCGAAACCAGATGCTTACGGACACATGTCAAATCGACGGCCAATGGAAACTCCCCAATTCGGCTCTTGGACTGATCCAAATGACAAACAAGCGCATCTCGACTAACTTGCACGCACCTCATCTTGCAAACCAGCAGCCCTTTCTTTACAAGCAAGTCCAACGATGTATCAGGCCATTTAAAGGGAAGGCAAAAGGAAAAAACCGCCATTGGGGTCCTCTTATTTCGACACACACCCACATGGTGACTTCTCGGCATCTCGCCATGGTCACCCTGGCGCAAATCGCAAAACCGACGTCGCCTTCTTGGGCGAGGCGTTCACTTCAGCGAGGGCGGTTGCATCCTTCGAGTTATAGAATCCTCGGCAGAGCCCACGTTTGCGACGCCCGGCGTCAACCCAAGCAGCTGGGCGGCAATCAAACAAATCTCGCAAAGTTATTGACTTTGAAACGAAAAACAGGGCGAGTTTGTTTTTCTGCCTACACTGGGTGAGCCAACAATCAGACTAGGACATCAGACTCTGTCTCTCTCAATTTGTTGGGGCCCCTAGCCAAAGGGCGGTTGGCGAGTTTGTTGTTCTGCCTACGCGGGGTGAGCCAACAATCAGACAAGGACATCAGAATCTGTCTCTCTCAATTTGTTGGGGCCCCTAGCCAAAGGGCGGTTGGCGAGTTTGTTTTTCTGCCTACGCGGGGTGAGCCATAAATTGGTAAGCCAACAATCAGACAAGGACATCAGACTAGGACATCAGACTCTCTCTCTCTCTCTGAATTTGTTGGGGCCCCTAGCCAAAGGGCGGTTGGCGAGTTTGCTTTTCTGCCTACGCGGGGTGAGCCAACAATTACAGTAACTGGACAGCAGACTAGGACATCAGACTCTGTCTCTCTCAATTTGTTGGGGCCCCTAGCCAAAGGGCGGTTGACGAGATTGTTTTTCTGCCTACGCGGGGTGAGCCAACAATCAGACTAGGACATCAGACTCTGTCTCTCTGAATTTGTTGGAGCCCCTAGCCAAAGGGCGGTTGGCGAGTTTGTTTTTCTGCCTACGCGGGGTGAGCCATAAATTGGTAAGCCAACAATCAGACAAGGACATCAGACTAGGACATCAGACTCTCTCTCTCTCTCTCTGAATTTGTTGGGGCCCCTAGCCAAAGGGCGGTTGGCGAGTTTGTTTTTCTGCCTACGCGGGGTGAGCCAACAATCAGACAAGGACATCAGAATCTGTCTCTCTCAATTTGTTGGGGCCCCTAGCCAAAGGGCGGTTGGCGAGTTTGTTTATCTGCCTACGCGGGGTGAGCCATCAATTGGCAAGCCAACAATTAACTGGACATCAGACTAGGACATCAGACTCTGTCTCTCTCAATTTGTTGGGCCCCCTAGCCAAAGGGCGGTTGGCGAGATTGTTTTTCTGCCTACGCGGGGTGAGCCATCAATTGGCAAGCCAACAATTAACTGGACATCAGACTAGGACATCAGACTCTGTCTCTCTCAATTTGTTGGGGCCCCTGGCAAAGGGTGGTTGCACAGCATCCTTCTATACTGCTTCCAGCCTAAAACATGAACTGGACTCCCAACGGCACTGCCCATTCTTTGAGGCAGTTCATGGAAATAGCTCCCATGCCGCATGGAACTCACAGGTCCCAGGACCTCCACATCGGAATTCCCCTAGCCTCCCTCTGAGGCTAAGCCAAAAAACCCGCTTGCCCCGTCGACGGCGCGCCTTCGAGGATGGCCTTCGCCTTCTTCACCACTTTGATGGTCAGGGCCCTGTCCCGAGAGGAGGCGTCGTAGGATTCCTTCTCCTTGGATCGGACCTGCTGAGCATTGCAGGATTTCGACATGGGAAGAGGGAAACCCTTGAGAAACTCTGGAAACCCTGCAAAAACCAGCAAAAAGCCTTGAACACTTCAGGAAACCCGAAACTCCGTGCAAACCCTGAGGAAAAACACTCTGCAAATCATTCGTGCTCTCAGTGTTCGAGGAGTAGCATGCATCTGTACTTGCCTGAGAGGAAGCGGGATCAAGCTGCGGCCAACAGACACTGTGGGCTCATGCTACATAGAAAATAGTCATAGCGAGAAGCTTCACCAACCGACGGGCCCACCAAACTGCAAAAGCTTCTCGATCGGGCTCAAGCGGCTGAAACAATCTTCACGAGTGATACCAATTGTTCGATCCCTTCAACAAAGACCAGACCCGTTTCGGTGTTCCATGTGCGCGTTACTTTGCAGGGCGATTTGTTGCTCGGCGACTCCTACCAAAAGGTGCTCCTGGCCCAATGCTTGGGTCGCTCGAGCCCTGGCGGGCCTCGTCTTTCTCAGTGGTTGTGCTGAATTAAATCCGCATGCAGTCAGCCACCTGCCACTTCCAGGCACCTCCCAAAAGAAGAAATCAGTCCCAAATTCCTCTCAACAGAAGTGTGCAAAGCTCTCGATTTCAGACCCAACGACCCATCCACTTCGAAGCCAACATATCTACTCGCTCGTTCGCTCACCCCCCCTTCGGCCTCCTCAAGCTTGCTGAGGCGATCCGTGAAGTCTTGGGCCTCTTTCTTCAGATCCTGCACGCCTTTTGTCTGGTTCCACTCAAAGGATTTGGGAATCCCACCAAGTTTGAAGAGGAATCCCCAGCAATTTTGAGGAGCCCTCAACATGTGCAAGGCTCGATACAGAAACACGTGATGTGTCGCACTGGTCACTATTCACCACTGGCCATTTCTGGTCGTTGGCTGTTGGTGCCGAAACCGCTTGCTTGCAGTGGGTTACCCGAATACTCTTCAATTCCATGCATATACATATCAGACATGTCCCCTAGCCATGATGGGCCATTCGACAGTGACAGCAACAACTGCCTTATGAAAACCAACAGCATGGCAAACAATAAAAGTGGCCTCATTACATTTTACTGAGCAACATGTTCTACCAGACATGCAAGATATGCAGCTTCTGGGCAATGAATGAACTGAAAATAGAGGGCGACACAACCCAGCATCACGCACAAAGTTGAGCATGTCATCAAATAACAATGCGTTAGACCACAAATGAGAACAAGCCAACCAAGCAAGCGCGAGTAACACAACTATGAAAAGTGTGTATCATGAAAGAACCGGACGGACAGCAGGAAAAAAAACAAAGAGAAAAGAAAGACAGAAAGAAAAAAAGAAAGAAAGAAAGAAAGAAATAAACAAAGAAAGAAAGAAAAAAAGAAAGAACAAAACAAAGAGAGAAAGAAAGAGAAAAGAAAGAGAACCAAAATAGCACAACAAGCAATACCAGAAACCAAGCATCAGCAACAATCAAAGGCCAAGACCATGCCATAACATGCCATAGCCATCTGAACAAACAACTCAGTTGCCCAAAGGAACAATAAAATAACACGCGGACCTTGACTAAACATTGACACAAATTGGATAAACATGATAAACCAAAGGTCAACCGGCCATCCGCTTTGGACTGAACAAACACTCAGGCATTGTTTGCTTTTTGGGAAAACAAACGGGTTTCCCTGCAAAATGGGGGCACACCACAAATCTAGCCAGTGCCAGCTGGGCATCTCTCAAAATGTTGGACTCTTTTGGTGTTTAACGGTACGCCAACCATTTAGTGCACCACTCTTTTGAGAAGTCCCCCATCTAACCAAACCAACCTAAGGGCAATACAACCAATCCATGCCAGTGGAACCCATCTACTAACCAAACATAGTGAGACACCCCTGCGACTTGCAGGAAAGTAGCCTGCGCCCAATGGAAGTGAACAGAAATGGACACCCTCCCAATATACCTAAACCGGTTGGTTGATTCATATGGGGTCATCAATAAAACCTATGGAATCATGGGATTGGGCTCATAACATCCATAGCCAACAAAACCAATAAGATCCATCCAGAGGTTATGGGGTCATTTCCACGCCACTGGAGCCCATCAACCTTCGGACTCCGCACCACAGCCGCACCCCACGTAGCCGCCTAGCCGCCAACAAACGCGCGTCACTCCTCCACCTGCGTGCCCAAGGTGCCCACCTCGGAGCCCAGGAAGTCCTGGCGCGCCTGAAGCGCTACCGCGCCGTGTGGTTTTGGGTTGGACATGGGGTTGGACATGGAAAAGTGTAAGCTGATGGGCTGCTTTTTGGCTTTTGTTATGACTAGTATTTAATTTGTAGTTAGTAATTATTGTGATTAATTAGTATTTTGGTTTCCTGTGTTGGGGGTAGATATAGAAAACTAAGCTGATAGGCTTCTGGAAAAAGGCTGATCCTGACATAGGGAGGGACAGAATAAGCCAGGAAGCTGTTTCTGACATAGGAACAAAGGCTCAGTGCCGATGTCTATCCAGGTTGATATGAACGCAACTCTCAAAATACTTATGCATGCAAGTCATGTTGCGTGCTGCTAAGCCCACCCATCCAGCTGCCGGTGACGACTTGTCAACTGCGTGTCTGCTCATACCGCACATGCCTCCCGTCCTCCAGACACAGCAAAATGAAACGATCAGTTCAAATACATGATGTAGCCGTGTACTGTAATTAGTCTTGAAAATGGTTTACCATCCGATGATATAGCCTCACATTCTGGTCTGACCCTAGTAGGGACGAAGCCCTCACTCGCCATGGCATAATCCCTGCTGTATAACCGTCATAGCGTGACATGTCTATGATTGTGCGTGTGTTTGTTTGCAGTACAGCCATGTTGGCAAGCATCCTGTGGCGCAGGATGTCTGGCATCATCATGAGTTGCTCTATGACTACAAAAGGAAGATCATGATTGAATGTTAACGTGTTGTCTGTTATGTCTGACCTTTCCATGAGCAAAGACTCATCTTGCTGATTGCATGGACACTTGAGTGAGTAGTGCCCTCGAGTCCCCAGTCGCCCAATCGGCTTCATCGAGAAGCACTATCCTTCCGCAAAAAACAAAAGTTTCCTGTCACTCCGCTGTTCCTATGGGACATCTTGTCTCGCCCTCAGTTGGCAGGAGGGCACATCCCGTTGAATGCCCAGTGTTGTCTCATGGTCGGGGAAACCAACTGGACCAACCAAATGAAAAAGGGGTCCGGGTATTGAGCAACTGAATGCATTGACACGTCCGCCCAGGCGGTCCAACTTGACAACCTAGAACTTTCTAGGGCAAAACAATGGCTGAAGTTTGTTTGCGTTCTACTGACTAATTAGGTCCCTAATCTTGGAACGATTGGTCAGTGAGAAGTGAGAAGCGTGCCCTTTAAAAAGGGATTTTACCCATGGCCACATCACCTTAGACCACGGTCGGTTCAGGCAAGCAAGTGGCACCTTGGGCCATTTGGGTGAAGCGCATCCTTATAAAGAACCAAAATCTGGGTCCTGAAACTGGGCACCCCTTGGCTGTTCAAAGGAAAAGACATGTAGACGCACCACTTGCAGAGCTTTCCTTTTTGAAAACACACAGTTCCGGTGGTTTCAACCACAGCCGACCTCCACAACGCGCCTTCAGGCGTGTCAGCTCTCCCTGAAGCTTGGCCTTGGCATCCTGCGAATGGCACATACTCCAGGAAGAAAAAACTTCGGGGTAAGCTCCGCAACTCACATTTGGGTTGGGGGCTGGAGGTTGAGGGGTTCAGGGTAGCTGGACCT